GTTTCTTCGCGCACAGAGCGCTCGCAACTGCCTGCATAGAGAATATCTTTTCTTCTGGTACTGACAGTTCTGATCCTTCTATCGGTAGCTTGCCTTTCGCAAAGCAACGGCTCCTGCCTAAGGGTCATGATTGGGACGTAAATTTTATCACTCTTGACTGTAGGCACCTCCTCGGTGCCGCCCATTCTCGACTGACCTGCGTGCTGTAAAAGTTCTCTAGGAGTAAGATCCCAACGATATGGTAGGTGCCCTGCAACAAAACTGGTTCTCCCTCTAGATAACATTGTGCACCTTTTACTACCACCAATTCGATGACTCCAGTTCGTGCTCTGTCATTAGCCACTGCACCTAAAAACATCTAAGTACTTCATCTTGACCATCCTCAGGATCTGAATCTTGCTGTCCATCTACTGATACCGTATATTCGAATAATTCGTTACGTCTATTGCTGAATTTTCTTCCACAGTGAACGACTCATCTTCCGTTTCGTTGCCAACTTGAAGATAGTTACCCTCCTCACCTATCGATATCGCCCACCCCCTTACGGCCGATGTCCAATCCATCCCAATGATCATGTCATTTCGAATGTGTCCCATCACCGTTACTTTTGTTAGAACCGTCCCCTAACTTTTCACGCTGAAGTCTGGCTCTACTCCGTGGGAGGGCACCACAACTCACAGCTCCGTTATCGGCACTTCGCAATGCCACCATTCCTTTGGTACTGTATTTCAACGAGGCCCAGCTTAACTACGCTTACAGTAGACCCAGGACCAGTAATTGAATCAATCTGGCTCAACACGACTATGTGCGTAATCGTTCGAATCAGAAAATCCGTTTGGGGTACGTCCTTCAATAATGTCAACTCTGACCCGTCGAGTGGAGCTTTTGTTTCCCATCATTTCTAGGGACTCACCCGACAATCCCGGGCAAAACGCGCTTCTCGCTCACATCAAAAACATCGTACCTGGGCTTCCGTTTTCGTCTTGCGCGGCGGATCACCTCTGCGACGTTTCGCCGTTGATTCACCCGCTCCCCTAGTCGAGTTCTCTCTCTACGGTCCAACCGAAGAAGCGGCTGGCTTATGACCGCTATCGCTTTCACCAAACTGTCTATGACAGCTGGGTCAATTTGACCTTGCCATCATGGACTTTGGTCTTGCAACTCTGTCCCAATAATCTTTACGCTCCTCTCACGCTTGCAGAATAGGCAGCACGCCTCCGATCTTGCAAATCTTACCATCGACTGCATCCGCTACTTGGTCAGCATCGGTCAACCCCAACACTACATGTGGAACCTTTTCGTTCTCGGTCAGTGGTGCCGGGCTGTTTCTCGGCATCTCGTGCTTCTTGTACACGCAACCTACTACTGTCTCAAGCGGTGTATGCTTCCGGTCTCTGCCGTGTGCGTCATCCGTCTGCTGAAAATCCTTACCAGGGAAGTCTGCCACTCGCAGAAACATCCCGCCTCTGCACACTCGAC